AGGAACCTGTACACAGCCAAAACTTACTAATTTCAGAGGTGACTAAATATTAAACCTAAATGGAATGATGAATTTTCTTCTTTGCATTCACATATCCATAACTAAATATCAGACCTAAATTATGTTTATAAAGGAGCACGCCAAAACCCAAAGGAAATGGCCAAACTGTGCCCTAATGTACAGTATGTGGATTAACAGTATACTATGTTTTCCAAACTCCACCTTCGGTAGTAAACTAAAATATGTTTAAACCAACATATTGGGGTATATTTTCATCTTTGGTCAGCCAGAGAAAGACACGCTAATCTACACATGGACAGAGGGAGTGGATTTATTTATGATGGCAAAGCAGAATGTAAGTGCAAGTAAAGAGAAAATATTTTAAAAGGAAAAATGTAGGCTGAAAACCAGGAAAAATTTCCTTATGGTCAAATCGTGGCACAGTCTCCCAAAAGGAAGCGGTGAATGTCTCGCTGTTTGAATAATTTTGAAAAGTAACCTGAATACAGAAAGTATATTGTAGAGAACAATCCTGCTTTGCTAGGGAATTCAGAGGAAGACCTAATACAGATTTCATCTTTAGCAATATTACTGAGCCAGAGAACATACTCCACTAGGTATTCAATTCTATTCCAATGCACACGGGCCAACTGTGTTTGGAAACAGAAAACGCAAGAGCGCACAGCAGTATTTTGGATTTAGACATTAAAACAATCTGCCATTGGAAAACAACATCTAGTCCAAATCCAAGGATGTTAACGTGCTCAGAGGTAAGATTTGGAATGGGTAAAAATTAGGGCTGTCAAATGATTTTTAAAAATTGCAACTATTTGCATGATTAAATAATCCTGATTAATCCTGCTGTTACACAATAATAGAATACCATTAATTTAAATGTTTTTGAATGTTTTCTACATTTTCAAATATATTTATTTCCATTACAAAATGGAATACAAAGTTTCAGTGTCCTCTTTATAGTTACTTGATTATAAATATTTGCATTGTAAAAGAGAAACAGTATTTTTCAGTTCACCTGATGCAAGTCCTGTAATGCAATCTCTTTATAATGAAAATTGAACTTGCAAATGTAGACTTATGTACAAAAATAAATATCTTTTAAAATAAAAAATGTAAAATGTTAGAGCCTAGGGATGTATCTACACTGTACCCTTATCTCTAAATAAGCTACGCAATTGGAGCTACGGAAATTGTGTAGCTTGTTTTGAGTTAATTTTTAAATAGAGAGCTATTCCAAAATGTCCCTTAAACCTTGTGGAATGAGGTTTACAGGGATGTTGGAATAGCGCACACGTTTTTTCAAAAGCTATTTCGAAGTAATAGGCATGCTGTCAAGATGTGGAAAATGCTATTTCGGGATACCAGAAGTATTTTACCAGTTTTAACCACTGGCTGAACAAGACACAGGACTGGATGGACTTATAGGCTCTAAAGTTTCACATTGTTTTGTGTTTGAGTGTAGTTATATAAAATAAAATCTACAGTTGTACATTACACTTTCACAACAAAGAGACTGCACTACTGAATGTGTAGGAGGTGAATTGAAAAATCCTATGTATCATTTTTTACAGTGCAAATATTTGTAACAAAAATAATATAAAGTGAACACTGTATGCTTTGTATTGTGTTAATAGAAATATTTGATAATGTAGAATACTCTCTGAAATTTTTTCTATCAATGAGTATTCTGTTGTTTAACAGCGAAAAAAATTGTGATTAATCACAATCCCAATTAATTTTTTTGAGTGAATCACATGAGTCAACTGGAATTGACAGCCCTAGTAAAAACTATGATACTTAAGGCTTGACCTATATTCACTGAAATCAATGGCAAAGTTTGTCCTCACTTGAATGGTGCATTTCAGGCTTGTAATCAAGGCACTGGACCAGCTGAGAGTCTCATCTCTTTCTGAAGCCTTGTCCATCCTGTGAAAGTTTCCTAAGCACACTGCTAATAGCAGTGCATTTTCACTGGTGTTAATGGTGGTGGGAGCCTTAGCATAGACAATTAAATTCCCTGGCCTCAGCCATTTTTAACCTTGTGCTGGTTCAGTAGTGTTTATGGAATCAGGCAACTACTAAAGATTGAAATTACTCACAATTCAACCCAGAGAAATTGTAGTGCATTCCTTATTTTAAGTGTGTTTATTTCATAAATCAAAAGTTTTGATCAATTTCATCTGGGGACAAGCACTGTTTGGAGTTTTAAATCAAGAAAACATTTTGATGAATGTGGAAAACATTCTTGGAGTTCAAGAAAATTATTGTGCAAAGAAAGAAATAAGTTATATCCCTGTGTTTATCCATGTGTCTGGAAAAATGGAAAGCTGAGCAGAAAAAAAGCCTCTCTCTTAGGCAAGCATTGTTAACTTTTCTCCATTTTTTACCAAAATTGTCTTACAATGAAACCATTAGGGATAAAGAGATCTAAAGTTTTCAAACTTCTTTGGACTGTAAATGTTTTACATGTAATCTAGCTCAAAAACTAGTTTGTTAAATGCAAATTATGCTCTTAAATCATTTGCTTACTCTTCCTGTCCCCCCCCCCCATATAATTTGTTCCAATTACAAGTGGATGAATCACAGTATAAACAAAATCCCAGAAGCTTTCCTCATTTACCTCATAAAGCTCTATTTTGACAAATAGTGTGTAACTTTTCATTCTGATGCTTTATGAACCAACAAAGATACACTCTAAGGACCAGACTGTATTACCATTCCTTGCAGGTTACACAGGACAGGAGGGCTTTTTTATTATAGATAAAATTATTTTACTATATTTTCTTCTGCAAATTCAAAATTCTAACCATTTGTCATTTCTTGTTTCCTAATGTATTGTGCATAGCTGTACTAAAAGCCAGAAGGTTGTAAAATATAAGCAAAACAGATAAAGTTTCATAACAAAGGGCATACAGCAAGTATCAAACATAGTGGCTACGTCTAGACTGGCATGATTTTCCGCAAATGCTTTTAATGGAAAAGTTTTCCATTAAAAAGCATTTTCAGAACAGAGCATCTAGATTGGCACGGATGCTTTTCCGCAAAAGCACTTTTTGCAGAAAAGCGTCCGTGGCCAATCTAGATGCTCTTTTCCGCAAAAAAGCCCCGATCGCCATTTTCGCGATCGGGGCTTTTTTGCGGAAAACAAATCTCAGCTGTCTACACTGGCCCTTTTGCACAAAAGGGACTTTTGCCCGAACGGGAGCAGCATAGTATTTCCGCAAAAAGCACTGATTTCTTACAGTAGGAAGTCGCTGCTTTTGTGGAAATTCAAGCGGCCAGTGTAGACAGCTGGCAAGTTTTTCCGGAAAAACTGGCCAGTCTAGACACAGCCAGTATGTTATATCCTATATTACAAAGTCCCAGGGAACACTAAACCAGTCATCAATCCACTGCCAATTAGCTCTTAGCCGCCAAGAGCTGTTTTTAGGAGAACCATTATACATTTTCAGTTTTTAAAGAGGGGTCAAAGTGGCACCTAATATCCTGTTGACATTAGCTTACAAGACTTTGTAGTTTTCAAACTTTATTAAAGTTTGATTCTAAAATATTTGATTTGCATTGAAGGGTAGGTTTGATCATTTTTTATTTGTTTGTATTTTAGTGAAGAATTTTGATATAATAGGCTGGCCAGGGAGACCTGTAAGCCATGGATGTTTTTGGGACAGGTAAGGAGAGCCACACATTCTTGGAGAACACGTTCTTGCAATTTTTATTCTTCTAGCTCTTGCAGGTGTCTACTCTCTCAACTAAATAGCTTTCTGCATCAACGACTGAATCCTAACTCCATTGCCCTTTGTGAGACAGAGAGATGTCTGGAGACCAGGAAGAGGTGCTCCGCCCTAATGCTATAGAATACATTGCATTGGCTTTCTCCACAGCATGCAAGAGAGGGGAGGAGAGGAAAGCAGGTCAGAGGCTTGGTCAATAGGCTGATGAGATTATGGTAACCCAATGGCCCAAATCCTCTATGTAGGTAGGGGCTTCTGATACATCTCATAGGCTGCTATGACTGTACAAGTGGCTCCATAGCTTAGGTTAATAGGATACTACCATCCATCTTTAATCCCATGAGGATTTCCTTTGCAAACCAGATTACTCCATAATATAAATGATTATGCTTTGGCCCTGAATGAACATCTGGAATGAATTATAATAAAATTCAGACAATTTGAATGATATAATATTCTACCAAAGACTGTATATCAGATGAACACAGTATCACTATATATCAGCTTCAACAATTACCAGCTCATCATGAATTTTGCTAGATACTGCATTTCATCTTAAACTTGTCATTTGCAGTGTGTATACAATGTTCACATTTGTTAAATATTTTGAATCATTTCAGCAATACCTGTAGGAGATGAATGCTATTTCTTTCCTAATTCTGGCTATGTATGGTAAAGTGTTCATCCTTCATGAGATTTAACAGTTAAAATGAGCATTGATTTTGTTATATCATTACTGCTTCCATTACATTTAAATTTGACAGACTACAAACACAAAATTATTTTTGTTTAAAAAACATCAATGTATGTGCTTAATTGTTTTATTTTTGTATAAATCTGTAAAAAATGAGTAATAACTAACCAATTAATTTGAAGTGTTGTTTTATTATGCCTTTAAATTCATCAGCTAGGAGAAAATATCAAAAACACTGGTCAAGACAAATAAATAACATCTGAGAGTGAAAGTTGCAAATACAGTATATTAAATTAAAGCAATGTTCACTGCTACACACCATATGAGGCAGATAGCAGTAACACAATTAGGAGACAGTAGTTTTAAATCACAGTCATCAGAAAGTTCTATGCCAACATTGGGGAGCGCACACCAGCTACAAAACAAGAATTTTATCCTGCCTTTTACAAACCGTGTAGGTGAATTTTGTGTGCTGGTAAAAAAAAAAAAAAAAAAAAATCTCATTTGTCAGTTTTTGGAGACCAAATCCTTTCTACCCAGAAAACAAATAAGGGGAGTAGAAACAGAGCCTGGATTCCCAGTGTCTCACATTTCATGGCCGGATGATAGTCCAGTCTCACTAGCCTATCATTTAAAATGTGCAGAATGTCCCAATTGATGCCAGTTTGTGAAACTGGCCTGAAATTATCTTATTCCACACAGGCCATGCATTATCCATCTGGTGAAAGTGACTAAAGGTTGCTACCAACTTGGAGCAGATTTCAACCAATAACCTATATGGTGAATGGCTCCTCATATTCCAGCACCAATCCAAACAACCATCCAGTCACCCAACACATTTATTTTGCCCTGTTCCCCATATCGAATATGCATTTTCTAAATATGCGCTCAGCCCAAGGAATGAGGTATTCAGAAGTGACACTTTAATCAGCAAGATTTCCAAATGTCTGTAGAGTGTGTAACTCTGTGGGTAGTGGTGCTGCATGGAAGGCCAACTATGTGCTCAGAATTATTTTCCATTTCATACACTACTTTGTATTATGGATTTGGCCCTCACTAAGCCAGTTGTGAAACTTAAATGAGCCACATTCCCATTAGTCTCCTATCATCTGCCTGATTCATAAAGGACAACAAATGTTTCTCCCAACTGAGGGAGACTGAGAAAATGTGAAATTTAGTCCAGTTCCAAGAAAGTTCCCTGGCACATTCATCTTGCAAGACAGTAATTTAAGCACATGCTAGGGACTATCTCTTTAGCCTACAATATATTCTCCATTTTTAATATAGAAAACAACCATTATTGGGACTAATCATTATCAAGTCCCTCCATGCACCTCCTCTGCCTTGCAGCTACTAACTGCAATTCTTCAGAGGAGGGGAGGGGTTGGCGGAGCAGGAAGGAGGGAATAGCCTCTTCATTAGTAGATCTCTTTCCACGAGAGTCAATTTGTCCTGTTTGATTGACATATATGACAACTAGAGACTTGGAACTGAAACTGAAATATTCCAGTGAGTAAACAGATATCCTAATCCCCCTACTGACTGAAGATCTTGTCAAAGGAAGCTCTATATGGTAGCTAGCTAGAAATACTTTATAAAAGAGCCATATCTTAATATGCCAAGGAAGACCCATACATATCATCATTACTAGGTTAAGTAGGGGTTGGTGGATGGCATGAAAAGGTCTGTGCACTGATATGGACAGAAGATCCTAATCCCCCATGTACAACTTTAGACTCATTATATTGTGTATCTGAGCTTCAGTGGCTTTGGGCACAACATCAGTGCAAGCACATGCAGACCACTGGCCAAATCAGAACAGAAAGTGGCCATTAACACAAGCTACAGCCCCTTAGAAAAACCAAATCTTCAATACAGAAAAGCCTTGTTAAAGACAGTAAGGTAATGTCCCTAAAATTGAACACCGCTTTGGACCATATTAAACCATTAATATTCCACTGCTCAAGATTTTTCCTCTCTCTCCCCTACATGATCTATAGCAAATTGCACTGCTGCCAATTCACAGCAAATCAAAAATCCTAGTACAGAATTTGAGTCATGATCAATACTGCACCTTAAACTTGTCCCTGAAAAAGTCTGGCCGGGGCAATGACTGCAATACATATTATACCAATACTGAAATACTCATGTAGATTGAGTGCATGGCTAGATGTACTGTAAATGTTTGGAGCTACTTGTGGGACACCTGATGGAGGGAAATAAATGAAAGATACAGGAGGCTAGAAGGAGAATTTCCTCTCTCTTCCAGGTTTAGTTCTAACCATTAAAACCATTTTAATGTAGCCAAATGTACTTTAAATATAACCAATACATTTGCAATAGAAATATTGTGCATGATCTTTTGATAAGGAAAAAATATCCCTATGATTATTTAGGCTTAGGAAGTCACTTTAATTAATTATACATGTTAGATTATACCAGTGATTAAGTCTTGTTATGTACACTTTCAGATACTACCTTGATCATTACTAATGGTGCAAAATCTAAATTCAGATCACAGGGGTTGAATTATGCTCTGTTTTAAGAGGTTTCTTTTTCAATAGTCAATTCAAATATATTTTTTAAAAATTTGGAGAAAATATGTGAAATCAGTTAGAATTTTGTGCATCTTTTAAGGCATTTAACCTCTAAATCATAGTCCCATAAAAACCTTTCTAGTTTACAAAATTGCAATGTAAGACACAAAGAACAGCGCTTTTTTGCACATAGTAAAATACTAATTATTGTTCTTTCTTGTAAATTTCTACTCTTATTTTCCATATTTTTTAAAATACTGCACAGTATTCCAAGTGTTTGGATAAAGAACTGGATGACCAATTTGGTAGCCTTATAAATTGTCCTGACATTTTCTGTACAAGTTTTACAAACACCTCTCATATCACCGAAGCATGTATAGCGAAGAGTTCTACTGAAACACTGCACGGACTTTAAAACCAGTAGGGCTTATACATTCAAAGGCAACTTTCTGGAGTGCAGGTCCATCCTTTCAGAGTAGGAAAAAAATTACATACACACAAAAATAAGAAAATCATAGAACTGTTACCTAGTGTGACTTTACACCAACAAGGACAACAATAAGGACAATTACTATTACAAATAAAATTAAAATGACAAGCATCTTCCGATTCTTCTTCTGATATTGCTCAGCCTATAGAAACAAAAGAAAGGTCGTTAGTATGTTGATTTCCACACTGCTCAAAAGCAGACCAGGACATGATCCATGTTTAGGATCTAGACAATCGTTAGACTCTTACACTATATTTATGTCTGTAATTTTCACAATATCCTGTAACGTGGCCACTTTGGATACATTTATGCCACAATTAAACATCTGTGGCTGGCCTGTTCAGCTGAGTCAGGCTCGCGCTGTGGAACTGTATAATGGTGGTGTAGATGTTTGGGATTGGACTGGAACCTGGGATACAGCCTGAGCCCAAATGTCTACACAACTTCACAGCCAACTGCCACAGCCCCACAAATTTGACTCAGCTGACATGGGCCAGCCACTGAGTGTTTAACTACAATATAGACATAGCCTTATGACTCAATAACTCATGTCAGCATCTTTAACTGGGCGTATATGTGCTGAAGACAAGTATATACTAATACCCCATTTAGCTACATTAGTTTTATTCATATCAAAGGGAAACTTCACATCATAGAATCTGACCTCTTGTCAATTAAAGTTTGGCTGTGCAATAGGAATGTTAAAATGTGGGTATTTAACTAATCGAGTAGTTGAAAGAATTTTTATTGACTACATGATTAGTTGATAGGCAGCCCAGCTCAGTTCCAACTACACCAGGTGCAGGACCAAATCCCGCTGTGACTCTGCAATTTAGAAGTCAGTAGGAGTCGGGCAGCCTGCCCCCTGGTTCCTACTACATTTTAAATTGCAGAGTGGCAGTGGGGTTTTGTCCCACACCCAGCACCAGCCAGAACGAGCTGGGCTGCCTGCCCGGCTAGCAGTTGCCCCTGTGCACAGGGGACCCAGTGGGGATTTAGGCTCTCCTGCACACAGGGGCTGCTTAGTGAAAGCAGTCCTTGTGTGTGGAGGGGGAGGGTGTCACAACTTCCCATTGGGACCCCCATGCACAGAGACAGCTGCGACGAAGCAGCTCCTGCCCAAAGCTGGGTCGTTGCAGACAGGGGCTGCTTTGCGGCAGCAGCCCTTGTCCACCCCAGCCTCTGATAGAGTCAGCAGCGGGGAGTAGGGGATAGGTAGCATCACGGCAACAGTGCTGGGGAGAACTAGCTTTTAAGTCAGCTACCCCCAGCACCAGCTTCTGCTCTTCTTCCCCTTCCTCCCCGCCGGCTGCCTCTGATACAGAGGCAGCAAGTGGGGAGGGAATGAAAGTCTTCAACTATTCCTTTATCCATACTCTGCATATCTTTAGTTCTTGGAAGAGCTGTATATCCCACAGGGTGCTGTGTAAAATATTACTTCAGAGAACAGAGGCAACACAGCTAAAAGAGTAAATGATAACTAAACTCAGAATTTTAAGATTGTTTAGGTGCAGAAATTACCTAAGTTGTGGACACAAATCAGGCAATTGTGCCTACAAATGTCTCTAAGCTATAGAGCTGGTCAAAAATTCTTCAAAAAATGTTTAGTATTATTTTAACAAAAGTAGGTTTTGAAGGAAATGAAAATCTCACAAAAATGCTTCATTTCCTTTGACGTGTTTTTTGATGTAACAAAATGAAAAATGTCCTTTAGTTTCAATTGGAATTGGAAATTTTTTCTTTTGATTGGATTTTCAGTTTTCTGCCACATCCCACACCTTCTCTCCATTTTCCCGCTTTAGGTATTAGGTGGGGGAGAGACATGCACACCAAAAAAGTCAAAACTAACATTTTCAACTCAACACTAAACAATTCTTGTTTTGATTTCTTAAATAAAAAAAATTAAAGACCATAACAATGTTTTAAGAAAATGAAAAATGTTAAAAATGTTTATGAGAAATGTGTAATAGTGTTAGTCAAGAAATGTTAACCAGTCACTTTCATATGCAATTATTTGATGTGCTGTCCACATGCTTGCACACCTAATTAGCTTGGAAATCTGGTCCTCAGAGTATCCCAAAATAATGGCGTGGGTAATTTTCATTTTGTTACTAAGGAGAAACATTAGGAAACAAGAGAATTGATAACATATGCCTTAAAAAGAGATACCAAATGTACTGAAAATAGCAGGAACTTTTTATGTTTTACAATATCAGGATGATTTTCATATATATCTTTTATGACTTAGATTTCACTCAAGTGCTTAGCTACAGCCCACATGTACTGAAAACAGTCAGTATACAATGCGTATTGCACTAAGGATCCAAGTTCTAATCAGCGTGCCCCAAGGGACTTACGTGTGGGTTACTAACAATTACTACATCTCTCCAGTTCTGATCACGTATTTATTTCTAGCCTATTTTGTGCAAACTGATAGTCATTACTTTAGTAATTATAGCCAGAGGATGCATGCCATGTTTTCAGTGGTTACCAATTCATCTTTATAAACAAGCAGGAAAAGAACTAGAAAGCAAATGTATTATGCTCTTCTCTAATGGCGCTTTTTTTTTGTGGCTGGAAATGTATCAGAAATCTGCAATTATATGAAAAGACTGAGTTTGTTATAATTAGACTTCCAAGTTTCCAAAATATAATGGTCCACTGAAATTCTGAGTTTGAGCATAAACATCTCATTCCTTTTTGTTACCAGCCATGAAACTAATAGAACAAAATCCTATATTAAAAAAAGCCTTTTTGTATTATTTTGCTGGAGTCCAAGCTTTTTAGCTACTTCAAAGCTAAGGGTGTGGCTACACTACCAAGCTTTGTAGCCAAAAACTGCCTTCTGGCAACAAAACTGTGAGTATATACACTGCAATGCAGCTTGTCAGAAAAATAAACCCAGTTTCAGCAACAAAAAACTTCCACACCTATAAGAGACTTTTTTTCCTTTTTCCCTCCCTTTATTGTTGACAAAGAGCCAGTATAGACTCTGCTGTTTGTTGACAGATCTGGCTTCTGTCAGTACCCTAGAATGCCTGTCTTGATCACTCTGCTCAGTGTGATCGGTGCTGCCCTGCGGGCATGTAACTCTTCACTTTCAAAGCTTTGGGAAGTGTCTGACAGCTGAGTGAGCTGCTCCCTTTGAGGAACAACCAAAGAGCAAATCATTGGACTGCTCCTGTTCTATCCTGCACCAGGAACACAGCAGCAGACAGGCTGCTGCAATGGGAGGGGGACAGGCTGCTGTGCTGCTCTGACATTCCTCAGCAGGGAGAGCTCACCGAGCTACTCATGGTTCTGCTCTCAGCAGCTGATGAGGCTGTGGAAGAATTTCAAGGAAATCCCAAGATGCACAATCCCAAGATCTCTGCACTGTGGGATACATACCCAAAGGGCACTGCTCACTGTTGATGATGTTCCCCTCAGTGTGGGCATGATCTGTAGACAGCGGGAGCAAGAGCGAACACCCTCTGCCAATTTTTTTGGCAACTTTTGAGTGTCAACCTAAGTTTTGTTGACAAAACTTGCTAGTATAGAATTAGCCTAATGTTCAGAGCAGAAGCATGAGGTTTGACTTAAATCCTAGCAGATGCTGTGGAAAAAAAGGAAAGCACCTACTGTTAGCCCCACAAAAACATCACCTGTATATTAAATCCAAAGGCCAACATTTGGCTCTCAAAGGCCAACATTTGCAAACCTGGACACCGAACGTGAGGGATTTTCTGTGGAAACGGCACAGGGCTCAACAACTCATCAGACAACCTATATTTAGGTGCTCAACTATGAATGTGGTGCCTAATTCTAGGAATCAAGGTTCACTTGCTGTTGCATCCACAATTGTCACAGTGGTATGCGACAGAAAAGGTACCAGTTGTTTTTGTTTTGTTTTTTAAATTTGGTCATGGTGTTTGAACAATCTTCTTAAAAGTATTAAAGAATATCACATGACAAAGCATTTTAAACGTGCTCTCTGTTTACCTTATTTAATTGTTTCAATCCCTCCTCAGTTTTTATATACGACTGTTCAACATTGTAGTCAATTCTGTCCAGCACTGTACCCTGAATACAAATAGTTATAATGAGCATGAACCTTAACCTAAATAAATTTTACAGAACAATAAGTTACAATTAATAATAGGGTGATAAATAGGGTTTTTAATGTGGGCAAACATATTTTTCCCTAGCCAGAAACCATGGGAGGAAGGGAGAGTAATGCACACTAGCTTGATGAGGTATGCTTCAGGAGGTAGCCAAGTTAGTCTGCACAGGATAAACTTAAAAAACAACAAATGGTCTGGTAGCACTTTATAGACTAACAAAATATGTAGATGGTATCATGAGCTTTCGTGGGCACAGCCCACTTTTTCAGGTGACCAGAGTTTTGAGTTTAGGATGTGCAGACCTAAAATAAATAGGGGAGGGAGGGAAGAAAAAAAAGAAGGGGGCGGGAAACAAGTAGCAAAGGGTATGCAAATATCAAAGGGAAAAACTAGTAGGCTGAACTGGTAATCTATAACACCAAGCATGGAATATTACTGCCCAAAAGGTTAAAATTTGGCAAAATTGTGAGCTATTGAAAAGAGGGCCTTACAGTGAGCACTGCCAGGCAACCTTAATAATAAGCAGGGCTACCAGCTCTATCTGTAGTGCTAATACCATCGGTTCACACACCTGTTCCACTATCATTGTTCCAAGGTCCCTAAATATTTCATTAAGATCAGAGATTGATTGTACAATCTGCACCATTAATGTGTTTTCTTCCACCAATGCTAACTGGTCATTTGTAAAACCCTGTAGAAATAGACAATTTAAATGATGAGCTAGCCATAATTAACATGGAACTTTGGTAGTAGTAAACTATTGTCATCCTAATGTTGCCACCTCTTTGGAATTTCCATAGCAGCCACAGAAAAGAATCTTAGTGAGCAATTGTGCATTACATATGTTTCAGATTTAGGGCTGTCACAAAAATAATTTGGATTATCATCAGCATTTCTGGTAGAGATGTTTAAAATAAGAAACTTGCATACCAAATATAGGCTAGCAGTTAAAATATCAATGGGGCATACAAATCTGTCTGAAAGCATTTGGCCACATGTATAAACCAGGAAGTGATATACGTGTCAATAGTAGTTTTGGCTATCTGCTCAATTCTTGGGAGTTCAGAACATCTCATAAGATCAACTGCTGCTAAAGTGTGTATTACAGCAATGACTGTGTTAGCAGAATCTTTTTGTATTACACAGACATTACTATTTTTAATCGCCCATTATGTTTTTATCTCCCATGCACTACGAAGTCTGAAAATGAACCCAGGGCTTTCTTGTAGTGGTCAAGTGACACACTACTATTATGCTAGTTGAAATACAGTGCACCATATTTCCCAAAAATTCACCACTTAATCCTTTAGCATTGGAGGCTGTAGTGTTTTGCAGTGCCAACTAAGGAACAGAGGCATACTGAGAAACACTGACATAGCAGAAGTACGCAGTTTCTTGAAACATTAACGTGGGCACTTGTTAGGGACGCATTGACATATGTGGTAACCCTGGATAGGCCCGCCAACATGGAGGGACAAAGTGGGGCAGTTTCCCAAGGACCAAAAGGGCCCAGAGCTCCCAGCCACTGCCGCCTGGCAGAAGCCGGAGCCCTGTGTCCTTCAAACTGCTGCTGGAGTGCCGAATGCTGCGCTCCTGACAGCACTGAGGGCTGCCTGCGGGAGGTTTGGTGCTCTCCAAGTGGTGCTGCCCCACCCCTTCCAGCTGAGCCACCCACCTCTGGTGCAAAGAGCAGGCCCCCCTGGCCATATCCCGGGGCCCAGTCAGTCTGTCAGCCCTACTGACCCTGGAGACATATATTGTGCAATATATCAACTAGATGAGATAGAGTTAAAGCATTAAATTGGACCCATTCTTTGAAACTCTGCTCCATAAGGTCTGTGCAGAAAACGTTAACTTCTCTGTCAAGAGCAAACAGAGCCAAAGGTATCACAATTCATAACTGGACATTGCCACTATCCATTTGAAGCTGCCATCATGCTTGCCAATGACAATTCTCTGCAGCAAAGGAGCTGACGGAATTGCTGGGCCTGTGGACAAGGTGGAGGAGGGGCTCTATGCTCCCAGAAGGGGTAGGACCTTGGGCAGAAGGGGCAAGGTGGAGGCAGACAGCCCTCAGCATTCCACGGCCCACCGCGTCCTCCCCCTCCCCCGCCAGCCCTCAGTACCACCCGGAGCAGGCCATGTTGGGCTCCTGCAGAAATGTAAAGTGTCTGGGGGGTGCTGCTGCTGGCAGCCAGGAGCCCTGATCCCTTTGGAACACTAAAATAAATTGCAAGCTAGAACTCCCATGTGGCATGATGTATATATCAGACAATCAAAAATGAGATTGCTTCTCATATTTAACACCACAGTAAAAACAAATATAAAAACCCACTCTCCAGTACAATTCACTTAACTCCTATTAACTTACCCGGTCATAAAGAGTATTGTCCTCTCCATCATCCATAAGTGGGACTGATGTGTCAAAGAAATGCTTGGATCTTTCTTCTCGATTCTTCATGCCTGTAAAAAGACAAGCATTGTGGTTGAATATAATATTCAGATTCACAAAGCAGAAAGACACCCAGATCCACTATTGCCATTTTAAAATACAACATTCTGAAATAATTCACAATAGGTGAAATAATATTTTCACAGATGCTTAAGGAGGACATAAGAAATGTGCAGGAGAGGAAAAGTCATTTATGCAGAGCAATATCATGTTATTCATAAGGATTTTAAGGAGCAGGTATTTGGCTAATCTTGTAGTCCAGGGGTGGGCAATAATTTTTTTGGGGAGGAGGGGTGGCTCTCCAAGATTTTGGAAAGTGGTCAAGCACCGCACTTTTCCATGGAGAAGATGCAGGGTCTAGGATGGAGGTTGGGTGCAGAAGAGAGCACAGGGTAAGGGACTGGGGTGCAGGAGACAGTGTGAGGTCTGAGAGGGAGTCTGGATGAAGGAGGATCTTGTAATCTGGATTAGGGGATTGAGGTGTAGGGTCAGGGAGGGAGTATGGATTCAGGAGAAGATTCTGGCCTAGGACAGGGGCTCTAGGATGGGATGCAAAGTCTGGGAGGGAACTGTGACCGGAGAGAAAGGGAAAAGGGGGTGCAGACTGCAGAGGGTTTGGGTGGCAACCTGGAGCAGAGTCTGGGAGGAAATGTGGATGCAGGAGAGGATTCTGGCCTGGGGGAGAGCTGCAGGAGGGGACTGGGATGGCATTCTGACCTGGGGCAGTAGGGTGCAGGGGGTTTGGATGGTGACTTGGGGGAGGGAGTTGGGGTGCAGGAGGTAGGCTTTGGCTGGGAGGCGCTTACCTAAGCATTTCCCAGTCAGCAGCCCTGCAGCTCCCACAAGCCAAGCTGGGCTCCCTGCTTGCTGTAGCCCCAGATTGCTTAAAACTGCAGGCTGTTCCCTCCATGTGGCGCTCAGCTCCGGGATGGGGAAGAGGCTTGTGCTGCCCTGTGCCCCAGGCCAATCTCTCGGCTCCTATTGGCTGATTGTTTCTGGTCAATAGGAGCTGATGATTGGGCTGGGACTGGGGGGGATCACATGAAGCTTTCCCCTCCCTCCAGAGCAGAAAGGCACATGGCTGCTGCATGCCTGAGGATCCTGGCAGGGGGCTCTGCGGGTCATATGTGATGCGCAAGAGGTATCTTGCCCACTCCTTGTGTAATCAATACAATTAACATTGACTATGTGATTAGTCAATAAAGAGAGGTGCTCTGCAGAGCTGCAGCGGGGGTAGCTCCTGGAGGCGGCGTGAACCAGAACTGAGCAGTTCCGGCTCACGCCGGCTCTGGGAGCATTGTGGCTTTTGCTACATTTAAAAGGCAGAGCTGCAATGAAGGTGGCCCCTACAGCCTGAGCAAGCTGGAACTGAGCGGTCCCAGCTCACACTGGCTCCAGGACTGTTGCGGGTCTGCCGGGAGGCTTCTACTACATTAAAAAGGGTCAGTCTGCCTGGCTCTTACTTATTTAAAAGGCAGAGCCACAGCAGTCACCAGGTCCAGCAGCTGTTCGTGGTGGCCCGGGCTGGCAACAAGCAGAGGCAGCTCCGGCAGCAACCCCTGTCCATGGACAGGGGCTTCGTCGCAACAGCCTCCCCTACTCTCCTTTATGAGAGACAGCAGAGGGGGAAAAGGAGGTGGCCCTGGCTCCTGTTTTCCTCTCCCTTGCTGCCTCTGGTACATGCACTGAATTTTAATTGGCATTTACAGACTGCTATTTACAAAGCATGACAACTATGACTACCCAAAATTCTGCTTAGATCAGCAACTCTAAAATCATTATGTTCCGTGAACTTCCAAGTAATTTAACATGCTCTAACATTTAGCAGATCAAATTAAATGAGTTTTTTCGTTGTTGCCAACATCTTTTACGAAAGTATTTTATGTCTTTTCTTCAGAAAAGCATATTTTTAGGATTGAGCAAAGCTAGAGGTGATGAGTGAATACATATATGAAGGTGATGTGGTCCCTAACGTACCTAAGTAGGTACATTCTCTTTTTCTCTTTCTCTCTGTCAGGGGCTATTTTCTAGCAAAGAAATCCTTTCAGTGCATGTCTCCTCTTAGTCATGATCCCAAATGTTACTTGTGGCAGCTATAATGCTGGGGTACAGGATGAAGAGATATTATTAGACCAATATTAAGTAGACAAGACAAAAATAAATTGGTGCATTTGCCTACTTACAGAATTTTGGATACTGCACATTATATATGTGGTATATTACACATTCCATTTTACATCTGTGTTCTCTCTCCTCTATGGGTTATGGACATGAACATTTATTAGCAATCAGTCTCCATTTGTTGCCCACAGCTCCCTCTACTCTAATCTCTGTAGTCAGTTTGCAATTTGGTTTTTAAACATGTTTTTTAAATACTACTTTAATTTTATCAGCCTCAAATATAATCACTGTTTTATTTCTATCAAAAAGCTCAACAGAACTTAAACCAAAGAGAGGTACGAAGCAGCCATGTGGCATCCTGCTATATTTTTACTTTAGTTTGTCCACACACACCTTTGCAAGTCCTAAGGGTCTTGAATTAGGATTCAACTAACAGCAAGCACCACTGACTGAAGACTAACAGCTGCTTCACCAATGTAACAAAAGCAGTTCTGCAGATGACTTACAAGCAATTTGTACACCATAAGTGTTCCGCAAAACGTAATTCGAAAAAAAGTTGAGACTACCTAAGTCTGATTGCAGAGTAAATTAGTCTGTACATAAGACTTTACTCATATTTAGATCACATACTTGTAGCAAGAACATGCTAAGTATATTCACTTGTTTTATAAGTAAATAAGAATAAAAGGAGGCAGTTAAGTGGTTTGAACAGGACTTAGAGCCAGGAACTCTTGAATCTACTACTAGCTCTTTGTGATCTTGACCAAGTCACTTAACTTCTCTGTGCTTCTGTTTCCTCAACTTAGAAAATGGGGATACCATTTTCATAGCACAAAAGGAATAGGACAAGAGTATTTGTTTAATACTTTGCAGACAGAAGGCACTTAGTACTACATGTCTTTGCGGATGCTTACGTTTGAGATAGTCAGACTGTGCATGCCTAAAGTTGGTGGATAGTTCCTGAAGGGACTGTGCTAAGGAAGACACTACATTTCTGAGAACACGTTCTTCTTGTTCTGTACAATTACGTGACCTGCTTTGCAAGGCCTGCACTGCTCTCTGGCATCTGTGAAATAGCTGAAAAAATAATTCCCATTAGTCAAAGAATAGTAAACACATTTTAATTATCACATGGCTCAAATGCTGAATATGAAGGACTGTAATATTTCAACATAAGGATATTTTAAAGAGAAGTAAAGAACATTGATGTCCAGGCTGTCATTTAAATGGATATAAAAATACAGCACACAGATGAAGACTAAAATCCAAACAAATTTGCAGCTAAATGTAAGCTGAAGTTTTCTGTAAACTAGATTTTGTAATGGATTAACGGATTTGTGGTTAAGCACATCATGGTACTTACTTTGTGAATTAAAAAGGCATTCAAGAGAGCATACTGATTGTTCCACTCAAAAACAATATTTACTCCATTAGAAAGCAATTATTTCTGCTCAGAATGGAGGTTCACATTAGTAATACTATTTTATATTTTAAAACTCCTTTACAAACATGAATTACTTGAGCCTCACAATACTACTGCAAGGAATTTAACATCTATATTACAGATGGGTAAACTGAGGCACAGAGCAAGTACATGACTTGTCATCACAGAGTCATTAAGAGTATAAGTCCAGAAAAAGAAGCCACCATCATCCCAGCTGACCACCTGTAGATCACAGACCAACACCACCACTCAGGATCTCAGTGACATAATGGAGGAACTAGGAACAGAACCCAAGAGTTCTGGCTCAATCACCTGTTCTAACCACAATATTACACTAATTAGCAAATGTAAACTTTATTTCAAACAAATCAGTGCCACATCAGGATAGACCTAAGCAGAGCAATGGCTTCAGAACTCTAAAAATATTTTATCTGCACCTGTGTGATCTCTTGGGTAGTAATTTCTATTGCATGTTCTTCTTCACTGCTATCATCCAAAGTAGGTCTGTTTAAATATTTGTCATGAAGACTGGCTAATTCTTTCATCTTCAGTTTAATCCTGTTGATATCATCTTGAATCTAAAAGAAATGGAAAAAAGACAGCAATGCCCAGAGGAAAAGGTTCTGACAAATATCAGATAATTATATCTGTACATAGATTTAATTGAACAGAATCATGCATTGTACAAAAACAGGCCACATTTTACGCTGGCCTTTGAGTGTGTGGTCTGTAACCCTGTTGCTCTACTGCCATTTTAATTTAGCATAAGCCCTTCACCAGTAGACAATGGATTATGGTGCTTTCAAATTTCTAATTCCACTAGACTGGACCATAATAGAGGCTGTGTCCAGACTCAGGGTTTTTTTTGAAAAAAGTAGCCTTTTTTCGAAAAAACTTCCCCTGCGTCCAGACTCAAGCCGCGTTCTTTCGAAATTAATTCGAAAGAACGCGGCTTTTCTTTCGATGGCGGTAAACCTCATTTCACGAGGAAGAACGCCTTCTTTCGAAAGTTCCTCTTTCGAAAGAAGGCGTTCTTCAATGTAAATAGGGCTTCTTCAAAAGAGAGCATCCAGACTCACTGGATGCTTTCTTTCGAAAAAGCAAGCCGCTTTTTCGAAGTTTCTCCATGCAGTCTAGATCTTCCGAAAGATGCTTTCGAAAGAGCCTCTTTCGAAAGAAGCCTGCAGTCTAGACATAGCCAGAGTGAAAGAACATATCAAATACTAATAGTAAAAGCAAAACTGCAAGTTTTGAAGGAAACGTGAAAAATCCAGATTACACCTTCCCCCATGTCACATGGTGGTGTAATACAAATCAAGCATAATGGTAAAACTTAAAAAATGAATGGGCCTGCAGCACCAGACTAAAACAAATGTTGTGTCATGAGCTTTTGTAGGCACAATCCTTCCAGACTAACATGGCTACTCCGCTGAGAATTTCAAGCATCATGGTACAAATTAAAGTACATAATATCAAATTAGCTACGAAAAATACAACTGTAAGGTCATAAGCCAGATGTCTGCTAGAAGTGGACTGTGCTTTTAAAGGCTGAATACCCATCTTTTTGCACATTGCATGGTTTTTATATACAGAAAAGGGGGTGACTGTAAATTTTGTGAGCACATTTTGAGAGGCTTTTTGAAATCTGTACTATAGGTTGAACCTCTCTAGTCCAGCACCCTCAGGATCTGACCAGTGTCAAACCAGAGAGTTTGCGGGACCATGAGAAGTCAATAGCGTCCAGCTGCATTACCAAAAACTTCTACTGCTTACAAGGCTCTTAGAAAACGTTAGAGCTAAATAATACACAGAACACTGAGAGCCAGGACTGACGGCTGTAAACAAATTTTTACGGATCATTAAAAACTTGGACACACCCATGAAAAGTGGACATCGGGCTAACTAAAATCTTGCCGGGCTACAGATGGTGCCAGACCAGAGAAGTTCAACTTGTAGTAGGATGAGCCAGGTTTCTTACATTATGTATGTAAAACAGCATTCGAATTTACAAAAAGACCTCACTGAACTAACTCCTTGGTAAATTACTACTACGGTAAACTGCATTAGTGTTGTCACAGCTATTTTCCGCAACAAAATCCTTGCACAAGAAACTATACCCAATAATAACATGTAAGTAACTTACTTCTCCCACTCCATCAACCCATTTGGGAGGTAGTCTCTTTGTTACACCAATTGCTGCTTCAGGATCTAAACTGATCCCGGATACTAGTGCCATGCGATCATCAGCAAGCTACAGAGGGTAAAAGCAACAAATTTAAAGACAGAAAACTATGTTTATTCAGATTATATACATCCAATTCAGGTATCTGTAATCACTGTAATGTCATCCTTGCTTTAAAAAAGCCAGTTTAACAAAGGGTCTAAGAGCATAGTTTATTCATTACATGTACAGTTTACTCGTTAGTGACAGGCTTGTTTCTCACACAAACACAGCAAGGAGTCTTGTGGCACCTTAAAGACTAACAGATTTATTTGGAAACAACGAGTAGTCCTGTGGCACCTTAGAGACAAACAAGATATATATAGCACAAATTTATTTGGGCATAAGCGTTTGTGGGTAAAAACCACTTCGTTAGATGCATCACTAATTAGCAATGACCTTGTGTCCTGTCAGGATTTGGGAGACAGAATCCATTCTGCAACTAATGGACAGTCACACATTTTCCTCTCTGCTTCAAAGTTGGGACCCAGGAAGCCCATGAACTGGAGTAAGGGAAAAGGCATTGGCTCTACTGAGAGCTTGTTGCCACAGGATCCTCATATTGGCCACATTCCTCTACAAATGAGCGTCATCGAAAAATTTCAAATTTCATTTAATTTCAAGGACGTAATTTTTTAATATATTGTTTTATAATCTCAAATAATGGTATGAATTTTCCAAATGACCAAAGATAACGTTCATTAGCTTCCTATGAACCTAAGAAAAGGACCTCATGGGATGAGGTTTACCGGGGCGGTCGACAAAGGGCTTTGATGTCAACCACGGAGTGTCCAGACTAGCGCGCTGAGCCGACAAACAGCTGATCAGCCATTTAAATTTAAATGAAGCGGCGATTATTTAAATTGCCGCTTCATTTCCCTTTGCCCAATAAACAAATCTACATGGCTCCCTCGATGGAGCCATGTAGTCTAGACATACCCTAAATAATGATAGGGAAAGGAGTTATCTAGAAAAGGCAGGGGAGAAAGCAAAAGTAAACAACATGAGATACAAACAGGCAATGTGCTCAAAATTACCTTATATGGGATTGGAGAATTTTAATGGAACTCAAAGGGCTATGTTTTTAGGAGGCATATTTACAATAACAGAACTAGTATACATGATCTACACTTGTGCAATATTAAGTCTATGTAAATATGTTACCTCTATCCTCCCTCCCATCCTCCAATCTGCATGTTGGACTTGCTTGGTGCATTTGGTCTACTTATCCCCATTCCTGATTATCTGCAACAGCAAACAACTGAATCCATGCAGAGTTCTACTGACTTTAACAAGGGCCTGCCCAGATGGAGCTGACTGTAACATGAGGGGCTAAGTTTGTATGTATATTTGTAGCTGTACAGTGCTTAGAAGACTGGGCCTTGATCCTAATTAAGGCCTGTGGGAGTAACTTTAAAATAAATCAGTAATGACAGGAGCAACTCTGGCAAGGAAATAAGTAACCATACAGACAAAGCTGCCAACAGAAATGCTTTTAGAAGAAACCCCAAAACTATTTTGAATGTGCATTTGCATTAACTCTCATAATGAAAATAAGCCTTTAAAATGTTGCCCACTAGCATCATAGTATATTCTCCAAAACAGCACAAATACAAAGAGGAAAATGTCCTGTGTCCATCACAATTTGTAGGAGTCATAGAATTTGAATAAGAAAGTATTTTAATGAGTATCATGATGTAGAATTTAATGTTGTTGGGAGTTGAAGTTTACTGATTTATTTATATCAGTGTTGTATCAGCTTTAAAAGAAAGGGTGCAGTACATTCTGAAGAGACTTAGATAGTATACTTAAAGTGAAGTGCAGATTTCTATTAAAACACAGTATGGTTGCAACCAAATTTGAAAAGTTGAAAGATTTTAAAAGGAAAGAACTAATCACAAAGGTTATCTGTAGAGTTGCAAACACTTAGAGGAAGGGTATGTCTACGTTGCATTCCTCTTTCGAGAGAGGAATGCAAATGCAGAGGAACGAAAGTGCAAATAAAGTGCAGCTTTGAATTTCCCACGCTTCATTTGCATAATCACGTCCAGGCACTATTTCAAAATACCCTATTTCAAAAAAAGAAACACTGTCTAGATGCGGTTATTTCGAAAGAAAACCCTTCTTTTGAAATTACCATTTTCTTTCGAAATAACGTCTGGACAGTGGGTTTTTTTTTTTTTTTTCGAAAAAGGGTATTTAGAAATAGTGCCCAGATGTGATGATGAAAATGAAGCATGGGAAATTCAAAGCCACGCTTCATTTGCAATTTTGTTCCTCTGCATTTGCATTCCTCTCTCGAAAGAGGAATGCAGTGTAGACATACTCTAAGTGTGCAGCAGCCTTATTTTCCAAATCTTACTGATAGGTGTAGGTCAAAAGAGTTTCACTTCACTTTCAAGAGGCTTCTAATAAAGCCTTAGTATAAAATAAAGGATAAAAAAAGAGCATAACATCTTTGCTCAATCTGGTAACGACTGAAGGACAAATTCTGATTTCAGATATGTGTAGCCCTGGAATTTTGTAACTAATAAGTTAGTTAGTTATAATGAACGTATGTTATAGCAAAAGGTTTGGATTAAACTTAAACATAAGATGTAGGCCTCAGACAGGCCCGGCAGCTTTGTTAACTTAGCTCCAGCTCTGTTTGATGTTAGCATGTTCTGATGTTAAAGTGGAGGGATGGAATATTGTAATGCATAGTGATGTTAATATTAGGTAAGGCCTTGTAACAGATAGAAAGAAGTTTAATGTTGAAAGACTTTGTAACTCTGTAAAATGACTAGAAGTACCCTTTTGTCTCACACTGCAGTTGTGTTAATGTATTGTTTGTGTGAATGAAAGCGAGAATGTTTTAGGAGAGATAAGTGCAAAGGCCACTGCATGCTCAAATAGTCAGAGGAAGGGCCAGAGACTCAGAAGCACCAAATAATTATCAACTAAGTGAAAGCACACTGAAGACACAGACTACCGGGGCAAGTTGATGAACCCTGAAGTTAGTGGCAAGCACCCCTTGATAGGAAACCAATAACAACTTTCACTGGAAAGACAGCACCCCCAAGAGGTCGGCAGCATATGGATATCAAATGACTGTGAGAACAACTTCTTCCCGATAAGCATATGTCTTAGGAAAACTGTGATGCTGAATGACTGATTAAGGCCTGACAAGCAAAATCCATATACTTGCATACAAGGAAAATCCTATAAAAGATGGAGTGTCTTGTATGGTTCTTCAGGTTCTCGTCCTGCCAAGTGGAGCATTAGTCCGGACTGACAAAACCCCGTCTCCTTCGTCGCACCCAAGCTATCTGGCCAATAGGTTGGGCCGAGCAACAGACTGGTAACTATTCCATTAGTGCATGTGTGTACGTGCGTGCATGTTACTTTGTTATATTATCAATAAATATGGCGTGTTGCCTTATCCCCTGAAAAAGTCCAGTGTGCTTCTTCTAAGCATAACATATACTAATGCATATCTGTTGTAGGATTTGACATCAATGATGAAATACTCTTACTTATCCTCAGTGTTCTTAAGATGTGGAGTGGATGGAAGGAAGGTGCCCATTTATTTCCTTGCCTTAGCAATTGCTTGGTGCCTTTCATGCCACTCTTCTTTACCACTAGGGATGTTAAGAAGGGTACAATCCGTTAATCGTGTAGTCAACAAAAAATTTGTCGACTACATGATTAATCGATAAGGGTTTAGCACTGCAAGCACTCAGTCCCAGCTCATGCCGAGTCCTGGGAGTTTCTGGGTCCTGGCATGAGCTGGGACTGAGCTGGGCTGGTTGTCCACCCGGCTCCTAAACTACTTTAAGTGCAGAGCTGAGGTAGGAGTAGCTCCCAGGCTGCTGGCCATCCCTCTAAAAAATTAGGTGGTGGGGGAATGCATGTAGTCAATAGCATTAACCAATAAGCTTTTGCTTATCAGTTAATTATTGACTCAACTACACTATCACATCCCTATCTACGCCAAAAAGCTAGCAACATCAGAAGAATCTGAAACTGATTTAGACACATAGAACACAGTAATTCACCTGGATCTGTTCTGTTTTGCTGAGTTAGATGTTGCAACCTTCAATGTTTTTTCTTTTTTTTATATGTGATTGAAATAACTTGTAATTAAAAAGGAAAATGAACACAGTAAGTAGTAACACTGAGTAAGGCTCATTACCGGCCTGTACAAACAAGAAAACTCTGAGGTAAGACAAGTAGTACTGTAAATCACATAAATTACTTACTATTTCTATAGCATTTTACTTCAAAGTACCTCAAAAGAATACTTTCACAAAGCCTTGAAGTAATATCCTTATAAAACTAATGGGTAAACAGAGGCATGGAAAGGTTAAATGACTTGTCCACAGAACATTTATGGCAGAGCTAGGAATAAGATGTAGGTCTCTTGACTCCTAATCCTGAGCTTTAGTCACTAGACCATGCTTTCTAATTTAATTCAGTCAGCTTCCTCTCATTTCCACTGAAGTATTGCTACAAAGCTTTGCTGCCACTACAAATGGAACACTCGGCTTCTATATAGGACATTGAAAAGAGACAGAATGGATTTATAATTAAATAAAGCAGCATGAGTGGTATTTGATAATTGTACTTTAAGAAAAAGCTACTGGTAAACATTTTCTTCAGTTCATCTTGTTTGGGCTGCATTTCAAAGTAGGTTGATTGGGTTGCATTTCATTTTGCTGTACCAGTGCAAATGGGTTATATGTGATCACGAAGGTGAGATTTTTCAAAATGTCATGTAAACAGGGGATGTCACATTATAGAAATCCCACAAATACTTTGTGTAAGCAGATGGCAACGTGTATTTTGTAGCTGTGCAGACAATCAAAAGTTGTGCAAATTAATTGTTTTTAGCATATAATGCTTTTCTGATTTAAAGGCTTAAGCTTTGAAGATCTGTTGATAATAAGGATACTCCCAAAGACCCTAACTGCTGCATGTGTTACTCCGCACACTGCTTAGTCCACTGAATCCTAAGGGACTACTCACAGTAATAAGCCCTATGCTTACTAAAGTTAACAAAAGCAGGAATAATAGTTAATGGTTTCACTGTATAAAGTTTTTATATGCAGTGTGTACACAGTAAATCTGGACAGTTTTATGTAACTATGTAGTAATATTGTAATATGACTCCACTGCACATCAAAATGTCTCACAAAACTCTTCTTCACTCTAATGAAAAAGCTGCCTCATTCTTATATTATGAAAAATACATCACTGATCTCACACTGTTAAATCTCAGAAATTAACAGTAAAACAATATGAGTGTTCTAACTAATCATCTACTACATATTTGACAGAGTCTGCCTGTCTGTTCAAGAACTCCTAAATGGTAAAAACTAGGATCACCAAATTCAGTATATAGTTTCCTATCATAACTTAAAACAAGGAAAGAGTTTGGGTTATACCTGGTAAATGGAATAAGCCTAGAATGGGACTGAGTCTCATAAAACCATACCAAAGAGACACAAAATCACTAGGCAGGTGAAAAGGGGTGGCTGGGGGCGTATCCCGGCCCACATCTGAGTTTGCCCTAGCCCAGCCTCCTACTCCCCAGGATTCCCCCACCCACCCTGATTCATAGAGGAATATTGCTGGTTGATCCCCTTTGTCAGAGAATGAGGGGAAAGTGCACAGTTTGCCACATTCCTCACCATGGCTAGGGAGATCAGGGGGTAGATGAATCCATACTTGTCCTAGCGGGGGGACATGCACCCCATCCCCCAGATGTGCCCACTGGAGCTGCAGCAGCCACTGAGAGGCACTTCTCACCTTGTCCCAAGATGCTATGGTGACAGAGGGTCGAGTACTCCTCTCTCCCTGAGGGCAGCCTGAATACTGAACTCTTAATCCCCAGCCACACCCCAGAGCAATGATTCCAAAGAAACATGTACATTTTAAATTTTATTTTCCAAAAAACCAAACTGATTGAGTTAAGGACCCAAGCAATACTGGGTAAATCTTCTAGTCATCTATATTAGATGCACCATGGTGGAACAAAACATGAAAAAACAATACCTCATCCAGCTCCTGATGATTTGTTGATTCCATCAGCCCCATCCATTTAGGGACAGCAAAAGGTAAGAGAGAGAGAGACACAGAGACACACACATAGGACAGAGATAGGGTACAGTCAGTTGAGAAAGTACTGAAGCTTTATTTTTTTTAAATAAATAGACTGTTTACCAAGAACAAACCACAAATTATCTTAAAACAATAATGGCTAATTAAATTACAGCATTCTCAATGTATCTACATAAGTATTTACCCTGGAACACAAAAGCACATTTTTCTTTAAAATGTATTTTGGTTTTTTGCTGGTAAACAAGAAAATAATTGTTTGAAAAAAATCAAGAAACAGTCAAGAAATTGATTTAAATGCAATTTAACATATGACTTTGATTACCATCAGAAAGAAGAATTGCTGTGTAAAACATGTTTAATGTGAGCTAGAACAGTTTAATATAGCAAGGATCATGTGCCCATAATATTCAACATCCAGTATACACTTTGACACATTTGATTCAAGAAACAGATAGGCGGACCAGTATGCATTATGATTTGATACTTTTATTGGGTAAAGCTTGAAATGATGACTCAAGACATACATTTACTGATAAGCACTACAATCGCTTTAAGAGGAAATGGGAAAAAACAAACAAAAAAGCCACACCCAAACACCAAAATATGGAACAACTACTATATATTTTCAACTTTACCAGTTTAACAACTGTGTTTTCAGGAGGATAATTGAAAAATTAAAAGCAAATGTTAATTTGAAAGCAAGGACAAAATGTTTCAGAGGTAAACCGGTGTCTCATGCTACATTTAAATAGCTCTTATAGTCATATACTCAGCTTTAGATATAAAAAAAAAAAAGGATTTAAACTTTGCCTGAGTAGCTAAAATTCCAGTTACATTGATTTCATGACTGTATCAGAAGGCTGAACTATTCTAATGCAGAATAAAAAATAACTTTTTACAGTAATTTATTGTATTTATGAAGGGTGGTAGATGAACAACTCTTGAACCTGTTTATCCAAAAACAATGTAGTTACCAATTAGACTTTGCCACCCTGCCAGTGTGCTTTAACCCTGCTTCGGAGGCACCATATTACAGAGGAAAAGGCAATTTGCATAGATGCTATATTAATAAGTGTAGTGATAGGGACCTCAAACAGATAAATGGAAGACAATTCAATCTATGCAGTTCTTTACAGCCGGTCCCCGAGTTACAAACGAGTTATGGACCAAACGCTTGGCCGTAACTCGGAATGGTCGTAACTCGGAACCCATTGAGTTACATTGCGACTGCGCTATTCGTAAGCGCGGATCGCATTTGTAACTCGGAGCCTGCATTTACGACCGCTTTGGTCATAAGTGCAGATGGTCATAAGTCGAGGTGGCTGTAAGTTGGGGACCGGCTTGTACTTTCTTGTAGAGACAAACATGGATGTAACTAAGTAGGAATTATGGAACAGACATCTGTCCATTACTAACTTGGTCCAACTATTAATTTCACATGAGGAAAAAGACTGGCATTGGAAAAGATTCAGAAAAGAGCAACAAAAATGATTGGGGTTTGGAACGGATGCCATATGAAGAGAGATTAAAAAGACTGGGACTTTTCATCTTAGAAAAGAGGAGAATAAGGGGAGATATGATAGAGGTCTATAAAATCATGACTGGTGTGGAAAAAATGAATAAAGAAAAGTTATTTACTTGTTCCCATAACATAAGAACTAGGGGTCACCAAATGAAATTAATAGGTAGCAGATTTAAACAAACAAACAAACAAACAAACAAAAGGAAGTTTTTCTTCACACAGTGCACCGTCAACCTGTGGAACTCCTTGCCAGAGGATGTCGTGAAGATTAGGACTTTAACAGCTTTCAAAAAAGGACTAGATAAATTTATGGAGATTAGGTCCATCAATGACTATTAGCCAGGATGGGTAGGAATGGCATCCCTAGCCTCTGTTTGTCAGAGGCTGGAAATGGATGACAGGAGAGGAATTATGTGATGACTACCTCTTTTGTTCACTCCCTCTGGGGCACCTGACATCGGCCAGTGTTGGAAGACAGGATACTGGGCTAGATGGACCTTTGGTCTGACCCAGTATGGCCATTCTTATGTTCTTATGGGGCAACAAGGAGACAGTTAAGTTTTTCAATCACTGCCAATGTTGGCTGCATTTGTACTAGCACTTGGCAAAATAGTTTTTTTCCCCAACAATGCCAGTAAAGACTTTGAAAATGTAAAGCATAAACAAGTGCTAAGTATTACTATTCCATTACCTTTTCAATGGAAACTGAATCTGATTGGTCAGTTGTTTCTATGCTTGTTTTCATCATCAGTAACCTTTCTAGGCAAGTATTAAAACTTTAGAATGTCTAAAAAAATCTTGGTGATTTAACAACCTCTAATAACTATGTGTACAAATACAATTTTAGAAAAGCCAAACAGAGTGCCAGAATAAAATACATTTAAAATATATTACTAGGTGTGACCTTTACTATTCTGTAAAGGTAATACTGTAAGTAGCTTGTACAAAGATAGGTGGGATAAAGCTAACTATGGACAAAGATTAGTCTACTGCAGCACCTATGTTGGAACAGAATTTGTAGCATTAATTATTGTTTCTCCTTATAGAAAATGCATTAATGAAAAGCAAGAGAAAGAAAGGAGGACCCATTTATTTAGAAGAGGCTTTTCTATATAAATGAGAAGACTGACCTAAAAGCAGAAATGGACGAAGACAATGCTATACTAATAGGCTATGCCTACATTGGCATGATCTTGCGCAAATACTCTTTAACGCAAGAGCATCTACACTGGCATGTGCCTTTGCGCATCGGGCTTTCTTGCGCAAGAAATTCATGTTGCCTGTCTACACTGGCCTCTTGCGCAAGAACAGTTGCGCAAGAGGGCTTATTCCTGAGCGGGAGCATCATAGTTCTTGCGCAAGCACTGATTTCACACATTAGAACATCAGTGTTCTTGCGCAAGAATTCCCCGCCAATGTAGACAGGCAGCAGGTTTTTGTGCGAAAGCGGCTGCTTTGGCGCAAGATTGCGCCAATGTCAACACAGCCATATAGTTTCAGTTACCAACCAGAAGTCTACATGGCTGGCCTGTCAAATGTGGTGCTTCATTACTTACTGAAACCCAATTTTTAAACTCAATTCAAATTGGCCCTGTTTATGTGCATTTACAAAAGCCTCACTCTCTTGATAATTATTTCATACATGATTCAAAGCAATACTGGAATTTGACGAGACCATTTATAAACAGCCACAGGTATGGAATGAGGATTGCACTTGAGGATTGTGCTTGGTGGTATCTGCACTGTGTATTATAACAACTTTGCAATAGAACACAAACAACAAAAGCTATAAAAACCAACACAGAAGAGGAAACAATAAGAAATTAAGGGAAAAAAATGGAAGGTTTTCACTTTTCATAGTTAAAGCATTGAAACTGGGGCCTCAGTCGCTAGGGGTGTGTGTGTGTGTGCGCGCGCGCGCTCTCTATGTATATATTACCAATGGAGAGAATACACTCCAAGCATCCATCCTGCAAAGTGGTGTACACAGGTGTACTCTTGTGCCTGCAGTCCAATTAGCTTCTACTTTTACTATTTTACTATAAAGTATTTTCAAATAGTTCAAATGATGTTTAAATGACTGTTTACTTTGAAAAAGGAAGAAAAGAGAACGTCTCAAAATAAGAAAGGGTTAAAATAATGGTGGCAATTTGCATTATAGGTTTTAACAGTGCCTACAGCAAAGTGAGAAAAGATCAGAATGAAAAAGATAGCTTTATTCCTTTTACCTGAAAAAGGGGGCGGGGTCAGGAGAAAAAGGAAAGACAACAACTTAATGTCTAGTGATAATATGAGGCTATTTAAATAATAATAATAAAGTTTATTATTTAAGGAGCAAACAGAGAAGATCAATAAGAAATGACATATATATTCTATTCATTTTACATGGGGCAGGGACAGTGGGCAGGGGGGTGGTGTTAGAAGTGTGGGACATATAGGAGATAGGAGAGAAGGAAGGCAATTGGAGAAAAGGGAGCTTGTAGAGTAAGAAAAAAAGAGCAGGGTGGGGAGAAGAAAGGGGAAGGGGGGTTTAAGGGGAGAAAGGTGAGGCGAAGGGGTGACTTAGGAGATGGGATGAAGAGAGGAGGGAGGAGACAATGAGGACACCTGCTGTCTGACAGTCCTAAGCAGATAGCACTAGAGCAGCCAGTGTGGGATACAGTAGGATGAAGGGAGGAGACTCACCGCAGCAGCCATGCTACGTGAATTCAGAGGGCTGGAGGAGCTGTAACTACTCACTTGCTCGGCCAGCAGCTGCCGGTTTTGGATCGCGTTGTTCCGCAACAACAAGAACGCGTCTGTTAAACGCCGGGTGGCCATGGCTCTACTTTTAGGGGGGCCCCGTGCACTCCTAGGGGCCCGAGCCTTCAACCCCCCCCTGCACTCCCAGGGGTCCCCGGATTCCTCAACTCCCCTTCGAGATGTACAGCCCCCTGACCGGCCCCCCAATGGCTTCCCCACCTAACGGCTCCCAGGTCAGACCTGTG